TATATATATATATATATACATATATATATATATATATATATATGCAAAAGATTTGCTAATATATATTAGCAAATCTTTTAGCTATCACAACTAAGTAACTTTGCTATGAAAGCAAGAAAATTTGCTCCTGTAGCTGATATTTTCAGTTGTATATTAACAAATCTTTTTTTCCCGTGTGTCTTCTGTTCCTGCCATTCTTATTAATTAATAAGATAACATGAACGCAAGACTCCCTAATACCTCATCCATTCATGACATCAATAAACGATTCGAGGCGAATTAATTTTCTGAGCATTATTTGTGAGGAACGCAACCTTTACAAATTAACTAGTCAAATTATTGCCAAAAAGTGTCCACGTTCGTCCCTTTCTCATGAGATTTTATAAAACTTTGAATGCTTAACAAATGGCATATCAATTTGTGCGTGCGTGCGCGCGTGCGTGCGTGTGTGTGTGTGTGTGTGTGTGTGTGTGTGTGTGTGTGTGTGTGTGTGTGTTGATGTGTGAAGTTTAGGACAAGAAGATTAAAAATATAAAATCTCAATATTATTCTCAAAGGCTCGATTGCACCAATGTTATTTTGGATTTAAGCGAAGTTTAAATATATGTTTGTTTTTATTTATTTAGAAAATATTTTTTCGTAATGAATTTGGTTATTCTATGTCTAAGTTTATACTAATTTGAAAATTCGCTTTCTAATTCTTGTTAATATTAAAGTTACTTTAAGAAATGTCATTTTTTAAAATAATTAATTTTTTAAAATATTTTTAAAATATAAATTATCTTTAAACGTTTTTTAAAATAATAATTAATTTGTTAAAAGAATCCAAAATAATATTTTATTTTTAGTGACATACCAGGTCTGTAAATATGAAACCGGAATTTGCCCATAGATGGGCAAACCGTCAAACCGCGTCATTGGCGCCATTTCCTTGTTGACATCTCTAACAAAGATTTTCAACTCACAACAATACAAGTTTCATACAACAGCATAGTTTGTAATAGCGTTGAACATGTCGAATTTTGTGCCTGGAAACTACGATTTACGGATAACATTGATTTTCTGTTACCGTTTGAAGAAAACTGCTGCAGAATTGCATCGAATGCTTGTCGAAGCTTATAGTGAGCATGCTCTTGGTAAATCACAGTGCTTTGAGTGGTTTAAAAAATTCAAAAGTGGTGATTTTGACGTGAGAAACGAAGAACGTGGAAGACCACCGAAAAAGTTTGAAGACAGCGAATGTATTAAATTGACATGTGTATAATGTTAAATTAATTAAAATAAAACGTTATTTTAACATTTGAGAAAAGTATTAATCTATAGTTTTGATGAAATGAAAATGTTAAATTGACAAAATCTATGTCTGACATATTAAATGAAAAATAATGTCAATTTAACACAACCTGTGATTCCTAACGGTATTCAAGTGTTAAATTCTTGTGTTAATTTTTTCCATATTATGCGTGTTACTTTTTAACATATTTATTTCGTGTTAAATTTATATATAAATGAGAGTGGATGATTTAGGACACATGAAATGTGTTAAATTTAACACGTCAGTTTTTACAATGTAACTGTGCGTGTGCAAAGAGAACCGCCAACTGCACGCATCCTATAAAATGAGCGTATATTCACTCGGCATTACCGTCGCTCTTTAAGCCCCATCAAGCGCACTATTAACGTAGGTGCAAATCATTATAACCGGCAATGCAAAGACTTTCTTATTCCGCATTTAACCGCGATTAACGGGCGCCATGCGTCATTTCAAATGAGCTTCGAACAGTCACGGTACAATTCCGGTGGAGGCTCTCGTGCGATCGCGCGGAGAAAGGAAGCGGATGGAGACGGCTGCGTATCGGCATATTTAAATATTAAGTTAGTTTTGCATACGCATAAGAGTCCACATTCGCTCACCGAGACGCGTTATCTCTTCCAACAAATATATCAATACATACGTGCGATGTCATTAATAACTGATTTATTTCATCTCTTATGGCACGATCCCATCTCGCGCTGGTTGACGACATTTTTGTCGCGGCGGTGCAGATAACGCTTAAAAAAGTGCAAAAGTGCAAAAAAGTGGATTTGTGCGTTACGCAGAATGTAATGTCTGCGTTTGCATTCACTGCTGATCATTAGTATATCGTTGATATAATCAAATCTCCGTCAAAACACATCGGAGAAATTATTTGATACAACTATCAATGATTAAATTAACATGACAATGATACAACTGAACGCGCTTTGCTTGAAAAAAACTGAATTTCTGGCTCTTATGAATCATATTCGATTATTCTTCCGTAGCATTGTGTGTTATATATACATTTTAGGAAGTACAATCTAAAGCTCTAATATTATACTTTATTAATAATTATTTTATAGTAGATTTCACTTTAATATAGCAAGATTTATCATTAAAAAGTTAACTACACAGAAAAACAACACCAAACCGAGAAAACTATTATAGTTACTATATCCATATTTTCTATGTCCATACAGCACATATGTCCAAAACTGGGATGTAAGACGTCGTTTAGACCTCTTTAAGTCGTTATTAAGACCAGATGTCGTTTAAATAACTTAAAGACGTCTAAAAGACGTCTTATGTCCCACTTTTGGACATATACTGTATGGGTGATTAGAGAGAAAATTTATGTGATTTGAAATGAGATAGATATGGCATTGAAAGTTGCTATATTATTATCTGCCCATCTATATAGTTCTCACAGCCATGATATATTAATATAATGTTTGATTATATATATATATATATATATATATATATATATATATATATATATATATACACTTCAGTCGAAGAAATATTGTGCTGTCTCTCTATTGTAATCTGTAGAAGAAATACTATGGTTGAGAAATCCGTAGAGTTTAGTTGCACCATACAGCACTGCATGTATTGCTCATACACATATGAATAGGCAATAAAGAAGATTAGTGCACTATGGTTACTACAATCATCTTATATGCACGGGCAAAAACTAACATTAATATTCTATTAACTATATTTAGACAAGTAATATCTTTAGTATTTTCTCCATGTATGAATGCAACCGAATCTTCTGTTACTTGGGGACCAGATGAAAAACTCGGTCGTAGAAATAGAAAGATTTCGATAAAAGGTTTTTACTTATCAGTCAATTACTCTCAATTATCTCAATCAAGTTTTAATGCAGTTAAAAGTCAAATCAATGCATTGGTCATAGTATAACAGACAATTTATCGTCAGCGGGTTTTTTTTATCTTTCTTCTCTCTGGTTCCCGTTTAGTTATCCGAACTGAAACCTTCTTTTATGTCTATGTTTCTCAGCAAAATTTATTATGTTCTTTAAGAAGAGAAAACTCTATTCTAACAGTCTATTCTTGTACATTGCCAGAAAACATGAAAAAATTTAAAAGAATTTATATGTACGCGCGCGCGCGAAGAAAAACAAATTGGTTAAATTAACATAATAATGTGACACAATCAATCGCGTTTCAGTTCTAGGAAAGAGGATTTTTTGTTTTCATAAATCACATTTAGTCATCCTTTCGTAACATTATGTATTTTATATACTTTTGTTTTAGAAAATAAAGTTTAAATATACTATTAAAATATATTTTGTAGTAGATTTTACTATATTGAAATAAAATCAATATATTAAAAAACGTATATTTTGTTAGCAAAATTTATTGTGTTATTCTTAGTAAAATAAACTCTATTAACAGTCTATTCCTACACACTGCTAGAAAAAATAAACAAATTTCAGATTAATTTATATGCACAAGGAAAAAAAATTAGTTGAATTAACGTGACAATAACTCTACTAAATACGTTTTGGTTGCAGGAAACAGAATTTTTGGTTCTTGAAGATCGAATTTAATTCATGAAGACCAGAAATTTTGTTTTCTTTGACCAAAACGCATTTAGTTATGTCATATTAAATCAATCAAGAGCTATACAATACTTATATAATATTGAGTTAATCCATAATTTCGTGCGGATTTTTAAAACAAAATTGAAGTGCATTTTATTTTTGTTAAAAACAATTTTAATCATTAATATACGTATCATTTTGTTTAACATTCTTTTTTGCTACCTTTGCCATATTTCATAATTTTCTTCTCGCAAAACTCTCGTGCGTTTACCAGCGAAGAAACGTTTCAAGTGATTTTTCATATTTTCTAAAGAAGAGAAGTTTATACTGTGAAGAGAGTTTTATAATGAACGAAGCGGATTATAATCGGAGGGGGCAATGTCGGGTGAATATGGTAGGTGAGGTAAAACATTTCAGCCAAAGTCTAACAATTTGTACGGAAGGGAGAAAAAGCGTAATGCACCGGAGAAACTCATTACTACCTCCCATTTTCAAGCTATTTTTACAAGCAACTATAAACACTATCACTTATACCAAAAAATAGATTATAAAATGTCAACTATCAAAGCATATTTATAGATTGCTAACTGTATGGAACTATTCTCGTAATACTAATGTGCGGATGTCAACTAAACGAAAATCCGCGCGCACGAACTTATGAATCAATCCAATAATATAACATTTTGTCTCCGTAACCGATGTATCGTTGCGAACAATCGATTGTTAAACGAATAAATCATTATTAGGAAAATAAATTGACAGAATTTTTACTTCCTCAAATTTTCACCGTATATAAGCTAGCAATTATTTTCGAATTTTTACTTCCTCAAATTTTCACCGTATATAAGCTAGCAATTATTTCCGCCCAATGAAACGATACAGAATGCTAGGCAAAAAATATTATCGTGCGTAAAACTTATAACATATGTTAAGTTATATACGATAAGGGATTTGATTAACATTTTAAATACACAAGCGCGCTCATATAACGCAGATGCGCGATAACAGAAGAGTCGTCGACTTGCGTCGGCTGTAGGAGGTCCACGACAGATAACGTCTTGCGACGTGCCACCCGGTATACGTGATAACAAAATATATAAAGTGCGCCAAGTGTTCCTTCGCCGGCAGACGTGGAAATCCGCGCTGGCGACATTCCCCACGGCCTCAGGGAAAGCCGTGCCTCCGCGTTCGCACCAATCGCGGCCGTCCTTTCACTGTCGGAATTCGAAGCTCGCGCTAAAAAGGCCGATTACCTGTATCCTATTCCCTTTCGACTGGCTGCAACGGTCGAGGGCCGCCCGCAACGACAACTTGCCGCGAAATCGACACGACACGTCTCGCCGAAGGCCTACCTGTTTCTCTCTCTCGTCGCGGAAGATCGGCCGAAGACCGGGCCAGAACGGAACCGCGAACCGCGAAACGGAGTGATTCTCGCGAAAGTCAAGCCGAGCCGAGCTTTCACGTGCATAAAATCCGCTCTCGCGTTAGCTATCGGCACGCACGTCGCGAAACAGCAGGCGCATAACTTCGCGCGAACAGCCGCCGTTAATTCGTGAGATTAATCTGCTATCGGGCTGATAAATAAGGAAACATGTTAACGTGTTACATGACTGCGTTGCAGTGCGAGTGGATCGAGAGCCGTAGGCGACTGAATTTCGGCGCGCCGCAGTCGCAATTCAAGTGGGTGTCGCGTGTTGTAATCCGAGGGTAACTCTCGAAGGGAGAGACACACGTGAGAGAGGAAAAGAGTGACATACGGATATGTCGTTTCTTCTTGCAGGAACAATGTCAACGTCGAGGGCGCTACTCACAAGCAGGTGGTGGATCTCATCAAGTCGGGCGGCGACGTCCTCACCTTGACCGTCATCTCCGTGACGCCGCAAGAAGCGGAGAGGCTGGAACCCTGCGATGACATGAGGTGAGAACGACGATATTTAAAAAAATATTAAAAGTTGATATGTAAAAGAACAAAAGTGGCAAAGGGAAGGCCAGTAAGAGCTTTTGCACACAGGAAAAAGATACAGTTGTGAGCAGCATAGTTGTATCTCCTTAGTTGTCTTTAATGATGGTAATTTGTATAGGATTGATATAACTTAGTTACTTTGTTACATCATTTCTGCATCAATGTATTTACGTGTGATCTGGTTATGGCGAGCAGAAATTGATTGGGATGACATTTATTATGAATCTGTTATCATAGATCTGTTATTATTTATTATCACTCTGGTTGGCGCAATAAGATATCGTCACTGTTGCAATGCGAATAACTTAACAATTGCTTTATATTTGTGGCAACCACATAATTAGCTGTTCTGTGTTTTTCTATTTTACTATTTAATTATTCGCATAATATTTTATGAATGTGTTTAATTTATGTGTGGGTTATCTGTTTTTTTCGTGCACGGATGTTAACATGTTCACTATCAGTTTGTTTGAATTCCACTCACAGACCATATTTTTTTTACGTAATTGTGTAAAACGAATTTAGCTTGATAATGCAGCTTTGAACGCAGAAAGAAATTTTTGTTGTTATACATATTTGATAGCGAACATATTAATTTACATTAGAGGTCGAACAAGGACGCGATATGTTTTACTTGCAATTTGCTTGGATAGATATGATTAATTTTTAATTTATATTGCATTTTTACACTCGTGCACAAATTCTCTTATTGGCCTTTCCTTAACAGTTAACAGTTGCGTTAAATTCACGTGTGAGTCCCACCAAGTTTAATTCTTGTTATATTAATGAAATTTTATTAATATTTTCTTAAATGCCTAGTAAAATTATTCTCAATCAGGCAAATATTAGACGTGTGCAAAAGTTCTAGTCCTTATGCATAGACAATTTCATTGTCTCTTTCATTGTTAAAGTCAACGTCTTTTTTTCACGTAGGAAACTTACGTAAAAGATGATAGGGGATTATAAAAAGCAAAAGAAAATATTTTGATAATTTAAATTGGTAATAATTGTGCAAAAATAATCTAATTCACGAAATTTTTTAGTTTTTATTATCAATAGATAGTCTGTCTCATTCTGCATAAAATAAAAAAGTTTAAGTTTTATGAAAACTTAAAATTAATTAAAAACAATTTTTATTTTCTATTAGTTATGTTATTTTTTATGTCTTTCTTATCGATTTTTCAAAGGTTAAGTTTATCAATGCCCTTAAAACGAAGAATATCGATTATTCTTGACTTCTTAGACAATTGCGAAGGACCTCAGTGTTCTCTCTCTATTTATACTTTTGAAATTATATATCAAATTTTTATCTTTATTTTTCTCGAAATGTACTGCATGTGAGTTGGATTATTTCTGTATAACTACAGCTAATTGCACTTTATATATTATGAAAATAAAGCAAAAACTTGCGAAAAATGAAAAACTAAAACTTTTGTATAGTTGGGCATTAATCGGTGAAAATTTTCTTTGACTAAAATAATCGGAAAGTCAACAATCAAAATTAATCAACCATCATATATAAAATCACAAGGGATTTCATCGATTCATGAAATTAATTATTAATCAAACTTTGATGTGACTGATTACACATTATATAATTAATATTATTAAACGATGAAATTATTCGTGATTACGTTTACGATGATGGATTAATTTTGAGGACCGATTTATCAATTATTTTAGTTAAAGAAAATTCATTTTATTGATTAATACTCAACACTGTTTTTGCACACGCCTAATACACCAAAAAACTGAGAAACTCACGCGTCACCTAGATATGGGTGTTTACGATGTTTGAACTTTGACACCCGAGTTTATCAAAATGCAATCGCGACGCTGCTATAATTGAAACTTGCAAAGAAATTTTCGAAGAATTAATTTCACGTTCGGTGTAATTCTCGATGATAATAGCAATATCTCGACTATCTTATCGATAAGATCCACTCGAAGCGCAATAGCGGAAGATGATTCTCGATAACCGCTGGTGATCACGCGTAATCTCTTATCTCTAATAAGCCACTCGGATTAAGCATATGGCACTAATTGCGCTGTATCTTGGCCAGCAACTATGCTTCAGTGGACTACAGCGAGAAGCGGTCTCTGCCCATCAGCGTGCCGGATTATCACGTCCGCGAGAGAAAACACGAGCGTTATGTAGTCTTCAACGTCCACATGGCGGGCAGGCACTTGTGCTCGCGCCGATACCGGGAATTCGCGGCGTTGCACATGGCACTGAAGAAGGAATTCATAGGCTTCAATTTCCCGAAGCTACCAGGAAAATGGCCATTCCAGTAATGTACTTTAATTACATCGTGCACGCAGACACGAATGGGACTCGTTCAACCGTCTCCTGAACGAACCACTTCGATATCCGATTCGTGTCACACAATTGAGCCGCGAAAAATGCTCCAAAGCAGCTTGTGCGCATTTCGAGCGTCTTCCTTCGCCTCCGTGATTCATTGGACGAGATATCAGACTAATTTATCAAGTTGAACGCCGTGACAGTTACTGATGACCGACATTATAACTACGTTTATATAGTAGTCTAGAAGTCTATTTAGTTACACTCGTATACACACATTGGGGGAATTTTATGATAAAAATTACTATATAATTTTATAATAGAGGTATATATCGATATTCTATATTAATTCATATTTTGGGAACAGAAATGTATTATTAGAAAATTTACCGTATTCATTAGTAAGATAAACTTCCTGCTGACATTATTCCTATACTACTAGAAAATATAGTAATTACTAAAAAAAATTTATATGAAAAAACTATATATTGTGATTCATGAGTACGTGCAAATTTTTAAACAAAGTTGAAAGGCATTTTATTCTTGTTAAAAACAATTTTAACTAATAATATGTACGCCATTCTGTGTTCGCTAATCTTTCGCTATCTTTCGCTATCTTTCACGTAATTTTATAAATCTCATCTCATAAAAAAATGTGCTTTTCCAACGTAGATACGTTCAAAATAATTTTTCATATCTTCTAAAAAAGCGAAGTTTATACCGTCAAGGAAGTTCTATAATGAAGAAAACAAGTGATAATTGGACAATGTTAGGTGAATATGGTGAGTGAAAAAAAAAAAAAATATATATATATATATATATATATATATATTTCAACTAAAAATTTAAATAATTAAAAAAAAAACAAAAATAATGCATAGGAAAAACTCATTATTGCCTTTCACTTTCAAGTCGCAATAAAAACAACTGAACTTCTTTAAACACTATATACCACAAAAAAATAGACTACAAAAAATGCTCTGAAATGTCAAAGCATATATATATATATATATATATATATATATATATATATATATATATGTATGTTACAATATATGCATACATATTTTTTTCTGTTAAAAGTTTAAATATTTAAAGATTAAAATAATTGGAATGTCCAAGATTAGCTACGTATCTGGGCATCGATACTTTTATTTTAAACGTACACGAAAAATATGCGATAAGTTCGTGTAACAGATTTTCTATTACCTGGAAAGAAAAACTTGGTTGCAAGAAAATAGGAAGATTCCAGTAAGGGATTTCTATTTAGTCAAGAGTTTTCAGTTATCTGTAATGAGTTTTAAAGCAGTTGAATCTTCAGACAAATATTTTTTTCCCGTATAAACTACGACATCTATACGAGGAGAAAATAATATTATTAGGTTAATCCATAAGTTCGTATTAATTAAAGAAGATTTTGCATGGTAATGCACTCATCTTCTTTAATTAATAATTAAAAATCTATGTGATTATTTGCAAAATAGTAGAGGACTTTTTTGTTCAATTTGACCTAAAGTATAAGTACACGACGGCAATCGTCGCTACTATAACTCATTTACCATATTCTGCATGATCATTTACAAGTTTTCTACAATTAATATTTCGATAATTATTGCGAAACGGTATAGAACTTTTATGTTTATCTCAACCTGTTCTACGTCCCCACAAAATGCCCGGAGGAGAGTGTGAGACACCCTGTATATTTTATATATATATATATATATATATATATATATATATATATATATATATATATATATATATATTTATATGCATATGTATACATGTATATAAATGGCCAATTATATGGAAATATCCTTTTAATACTGCGAATGCCAACTAGATAAAAATCCGTACGAACTTATGGATTAACCTAATAATAATATTTTCTCCTCATATAGATGCCGTAGTTTATACGGGAAAAAAATATTTGTCTGAAGATTCAACTGCTTTAAAACTCATTACAGATAACTGAAAACTCTTGACTAAATAGAAATCCCTTACTGGAATCTTCCTATTTTCTTGCAACCAAGTTTTTCTTTCCAGGTAATAGAAAATCTGTTACACGAACTTATCGCATATTTTTCGTGTACGTTTAAAATAAAAGTATCGATGCCCAGATACGTAGCTAATCTTGGACATTCCAATTATTTTAATCTTTAAATATTTAAACTTTTAACAGAAAAAAATATGTATGCATATATTGTAACATACATATATATTCTATATTGAAAATTTAATTATTTGAATTTAAAGACCAATACAATAAAAATAAAAATGTACAGAATTAGCTATATGTCCAGCAATTGATATTTTTATCTTTCCCTACACGAGAAAGATTTGTGTAACCTTTTGCTGTTGTCTGAGGGCCAGACAAAAACTCAATTGTAAGAACAGTAAAACTGTAGGTAGCTTCTATTTAATCGATCGTATTCCAACCGAGTTTTAATACAGGTAATCACTCAGACGAATATTTTTATTCGCGGTAGTAGAAATATATCGCATAGATATCGTTTCATCTAAATATTACATTAAGATTTTCTTTTTATGGTTAACAGAATTTGATAATTCTTGATATTGTAACTATTCGTGCTATCATGTCGATTGACAGATTAATACTTATATTAAATTTATGTAAGAATTTCGCAGTTATATTAATTCATAAGAAAATAATTATAATTATTTACGCGACACTTAGTATGAATAGTCATAACATCTCGGGAATAATTAAATCGGTTTTACGCTGTTTAGATTGGGTGTTACCGAATTGGTTTTAGATTGCTGTGTAAACGTAGTTTATGATATTACAGCGTCTCATTAAATTACATATAAAATATAATTAATTGCATTCGAAAAATCGGTCGCACGGCCAATAAAGGATCAATGAAACAAAGTGAAAAACACGTCTCGAATTATATTGGTTATTTGCTGTATTTTTTGGTAATTCAATAATCTGAGCTTTCAAATAATTTTCGTATAATTAACGTGGCAATTGACGTGTTAATAAATTTGTTCACTTGCGTTTCAGACTAAGCGAGCAACAGCTCGACACGAGAAGACGCGGCCTGGAGCAATACCTGGAGAAGGTCTGTGCGGTGCGCGTGATAGCGGAAAGCGACGCCATGCAAGAATTCCTGACCGACAGACTGGAGGAGGACGATCAAGGACCGGCGGTGGATCTTAAGATTCTCCTGCCGGATCGCGAAGTCGTCACTGTCACGGTCCTCAAGGCGGCATCGGTGAAGGATGTCTACGACGCGGTTTGCTGCCGAGTCGGGCTGGACTCGGAAACCGCCAAGTACTTCTATCTCTTCGAGATTGTGGAATACAATTTCGGTACGTGTTCTGACCAACACGCCATGAGCGTTTCCGTTCCGTTCCATGCGATCCACTATTAATAGCGCCTCTTTGCGACGTATAAAACACTGTCGATGCATTTCAGAGCGGAAGCTGCAGCCGCATGAGCACCCACACACTATATACATTCAGAATTACTCGACTGCCAGTGCGACGTGTTTGGCGATAAGGAGGTGGCTCTTCAATGTAAATAGGCCTCTGAGCGAGCAGGCGTTAACTTGGATATTCTGGCAGACGGTCGACGAAGTCAATAGAGGTCACATTACCGCCGGTGAAAGATTGTATCAGTTGAAAGCTCTGCAGGACGCGTCCAGGAAGCACGAGGTACGTTTGGGCTTTGACACTGAATTGCTTCTACGCAAACTTTCCACATTGCATACAATCTTTATTGATTTCATTTAAACATGAATAATTGAAGGCTTTGAAATTAAGTTTAAAACGAAATTATCTACTTATAAAATTATTTAATTTTATATACTTTATGGGGCTAGTGGTTACGTGATTCGGATCAGGAGGGAGAATGATTGCTGAGACCTTAACTAAATCTATATACATTTCGACTATATATACATATATTTAGTATGTCAGTGTTCTTGGTTCTTTATATTTTGTAACGCCTGTCTTTTAAGTCTTCTTTTCGCCCCTACATTCCTATAGGAGACTTGGTGGTTCCCTTTCCGTTCTGTCTCCGAAGAATTCAGTTCCTTGTTGCTCGTTGTTGGAGTGCCTGCGTTGTTGTCTTCTCTGCAAGTTCTGTTTGCCGTGTGTACGCTTGTGCTGCGTGAGACGTTTGTGCAGCGTGTAACGCTGGTGCAGTGTGATACGCTGGTGCAACGTGAAACGCTTGTACAGCGTGAGCGCTTTACAGCACTATTGGCAAAATTGAGTTTTTTCCTCTCATGAGACCTCGAACTTTGATGAGCAAATGCTGAGTGTTCCGCCGATTTTACTGCCTTATATACTGTGTCAATTTACTTTAGACCGAGAATTTACTTTCGAAAATTGGGAAGCCCTAGTACACCGCCTAACGGCGCGGTGAGAAGCTTCTGCGCGCGGCCTAAGCCGCCGTGCTGCGCACGGTCTAAGGCACGCGTAGCTTGTGCCGTCTGCTCTTTATGTCCGCTGATCACTACACTCTTAATTATTAATTTTTTTATGAAAACAATAAAGATTGTTTATATGTGCAATAGAAACACCATGCGTGGATCTTCACATTAATTAAAATTAACTACATTTGAAATTAAATTCAAAAGATAAGATTCGTGATGGTGTACAAAAATTAATTACAGTGTAGATCGCAAATTTACTACTGTTCGGAACATATATTATTTCTTACAAAAAAAAAAGGAAATATACTTTCAAAAAATCTGTGGTCTATATTTATCCTTAATACAGAGTAGATTTTCGGTCTACATTTTTTATCTATTGTGATTAATTTTTAATCCTTAGTGTTTCCTCATTGTAGACAAACAATCTTTATTGTTTTCTTCTTCTTAGTCATAACATCTTGCCAGATGTGTTGTGACTCAGTTCGACTAGCTCGTTTCCAATTTAGAGATAGCCTCCTTCATCATACTCTGCCATCCATCTCTGTCTCTGGTATCATGGATAGCCTGACCAAGATTCTTTTGCAGAAGTTTCTTTATAATGTCAACCCAACGTGTCGGTGACTGTCCACGCCTCCGCTTGCCCTCCTGCTTTCTCTGAACCACAAGTCGTTCCACGTTGTCAGTACGCTGTATATGGCCAAAAAATTTCAGTATTCTTGAAAATATCGTACTTGATAGATGTCTAGAAAGACGTATTTTATTAAGTATTGATACGTTAGTCCTATGCGCAGTTCAAGGTATTCTTAACATTCTGCGCCATTCCCACATATCAAAGGCACCAATTCTTCGTCTATCAGCCTCATTGTTTCATTTAAACGTAAATAATTAAAAAGATTTTAACATTCTAAATTCTAAACCTAAATTACATAATTATAAAATTAAATCTAAAAGATAAAAAGGACTAATAAAAGTCAAGTCGCAAGGTGTGATGCGTAAAAATTATCGCAGTTTTACTGTTGATAGATCGCAATTTTACTGTTGTTTAGAAACATATTATTCCTAAGAAAAAAACAAGAAATAGGAACATATTTTTAGTAAATTTGCAATTTATATTTATCACTAATCCAGAGTAGATTTTTAGTTTGCATTTGTTATTTGCTATAATTAATTTTGGCTCGTCACTACCGTATTAAATATAAGACTATATTGAATATAAATTTGATTTTTATTAGCATTTATTATTTTTTTATTTCCATTCGTTCCTATTTTACTTTATTTTCCGTGTGTACATACACAACTACCATGATAGTCTTAACACATAAAGTAACACTATTTTAGAGTTACACTGAAAGAAATTACCCGATAAAAACTTAACAGAGGGATATTTCCGATTAAATTTAATCGAATACTTTCGATCATAATGGATTTCATCAAATAAACCAATAAAAAAATTATGAACCGATATTTCTCATTAGATGTTTCCTGACCGGATACAAAAATTCATCGGTATTTTAATCGGAAATACCCATTTGTTAATTTCTTATCGAATAATTTCTCTCAGTGTATCCACAAAAAGAAAACATGCGCTCTAGAAAGATGCAATTTCCTAAATCAAAGTTATTAATACTTGTGTACATATTTCTTTCTTCCTTTCTTTTCTGTTTTGTTTACCAATCAGAAAAAACGTTTATGTGCAGTATTTAAAGCTGGCGAGGGAACTGAACGGATACGGCGACATCGTGTTCCCGCATTGCACGTGCGATTCGAGGAAAGAGGGTCACGTGGTGGCGGCGGTGGGCATGGCGGCATTTAAATTGCACGCCGCGAAGGAGGACGGCACGTTGGAGTCGCAGGTAGTAGAGTTCCAATGGAACACCATCACTCGGTGGGAGGTGGACGAGGACGGGATGGCGTTCTCTTTCCAATACACCCGCCAAGAGAATCGTCCACCGCGTTGGCTCAAAGTGTTCACTCCTTACGTAAGTACGGTGACTCTAGAGCATGGAGCTCTTCCCTCTTCTGCGCTTTCGCCTGTTTACGTAATAAGCTCAACGCGCTTAATCTATATCTGGTGGTGTGCTTGCAGTATATGTTCCTCTCGAATTGCTTCGATCGAATAGCCGAGGAAGCAAAATGGGACGACCCAGGAGAATGACGTAATGTCCGACGCTAAGTGGCACCCGGTGTATGACGTTGAGGATGTTTCCAAACGAATATCCCCGTATTCGTCTTCGTAGTCGAAATTTTTTACTAGAGTTAGCCACTAGACCGACACGAGAGTCAACGTAGCACTTGTAGCATATCAGATTTTCTATCTGTTGGCTTCGCGGAACGTTACGTTAAGGAACACGTTAGCAACGTTACAGTGGTAGGAGTGTCTGTAAACACGTTGGCGTCGCTGGAGGTCGGTGAAGTACTCATAAGAGCGAAAGCACGGAAAAAGCGAAAGAAATATGGAGACTCGACATATATATCAACGAATGTGACACGAAAACGTTCGCAAAATGCGAGTTAGCGAAAATGAGAGAGAGAGAGAGAGAGAGAGAGAGAGAGAGAGAGAGAGAGAGAGAGAGAGAACAGATGTGATGTATAAATTTAGATCGAATTTATCATATGCCATGCTCGTCCATGACCCGCTGAGATCTGCTGTGACTTGGTTTGACCGAGTGTATAGAGAAATAAATTTCAATTTCACGCAAAGAAAAATACAGTTTTAACACTGTTCTGTTTCGTTGATGAAATGTGCGTCACTTCTTCGTTTCTTCACGAAAGGGAACGAAAATTAGGAGCGCGTATAACGCGTACAGCGCGCGCTAAGACGTAAGGCCTATATTAATAGTAGTTATTCGAAATTTACCTCAAGTGAAGATATTTTCATTTGAGTTCTGAGTTAAATGTGAGTCTTTTCAGTGGAATCGCGACTGCAAATATAATAACACGTATATCACGTGACTCAACTGAAAAACGTGAAAAATTGAAATTTAACTCCTAAGGTCCATATTAATAGTAATTATTTGAAATTCGTCTCAAGTGAAATATTCAGATTTAAATTCAAATTTAAATGAGAATTAAATGAGAATTTTTTAATTTAATCACTATAACAAATTAAGACTTGTATTAATTGCCGTTAAATTGCCTTTAAATTTATCTTAAGTGAGACACTCAGCTATAAAGAATTAGATAGGAACTTTCCAGCTGAATCACGATGACAAATACGGGGTGTATTTACCGTAACAGTATCCACTATATTTTTACCAGTTACATTTATCGGACAGAAAACAGTTCTAGATGCAATTAATTATTAAGATGTAACAAAAACTTAAAAAATCATTATTTTTTCATAAAATATCAAGATCATCTTCACTTTTTTCAAAAAAATCATATTTTTTTATTGTAGTGTTGTAAAAAAAGTTAAAATAAATTCAATAATAACTCATAATATTATTTTTATTGCTATTTCATAGCAAAAAAGAGCGCAACAAAATAATAATGTAGAATTTCAATAACATATAACACAAGCAAACATACAGAAATTTAAATCAAAGTATCCTATTGATATGACATATAAAACTCTGTTACAAAAGGCAGAGTTTTGTGTTGCAGAAAATAAATTACATTTCGAATATGTTCTGAGCACCTAACATTCTTCGTTATATTGTATTCCAAACGTTATCTTCTGTTTGTATTTTTACTGTTAAATGTTAATAAAAATAACATTGTGAGTTACTAGTGAATTTGTTTTCATCCTTTTTACTATAAAAAAAATATCTTTCCATTAAAAAAAAAAATTAAAATAACCTAATTATTAATAACCTAATAACCTAATAATTGTTTTACGAAAAGAAAACATTCGAAAATTTTATTATTGCATCTTATTTAAAAACTAATGAATTTTATCTAAAACTTTTTCCTGCCCAATTATCATAATTGATAAAAAAAATAACGAATATCCTTACGATGAATACTCTGTATAATGTCACGAATATTAAATGACTATTTGATATTAAATTTGCCTTAAGTGAGACACTCAGCTATAAATTTAGAATTAGCTATAAATTTAGAATTAGACGAATATTAAATGAGATTTGACTAAAAAATTCAAATCTAGTTCTAAGTTCTGATCTGAGTATCTCACATGAGACAAGTTTCAACGACTAATAATATGGACCTCTATGTCATATATACCGTAAGTGTCAACTGAAACATCTGACTGTGAATACAAATTCGAGTATTTCACATGAGATAAGTTATAGATAACAACTATTAATTAAAGTCTTAACTCGAGATTCGTATTAGTTATTACTACCTGAAACTCGTTTCTAGTGAGATACTCAGACTTGAATTCAGAGTCAGATGAAAGTTTTTCAGATTAATCGCAATTACAGATATAAATATCACATATATTGCTCGTCTGAAAAGCTTGTATCTAATTATGAACAAAAACCACTTGAGACAAGTTTCAATTTGTCAAACTCAAGGTGACAACTATTAATACGGATCCGTGCATCCCACGCGAGACGAGTTTCAAGTAACAACTATTGATACGGGCCAAGGGAGTTAAGTAAGTATAGAGGCGCGGGCTATTATTACGGAGAGGCACGGTCACCTGTCTATAGAAACCACCTATCCTTTGGCCTATAAGTTCTGCATAGCGTATAATTCTGTCATCAGAGCGAAATAATCGATTGGATTACGTAAACGTTCCTCCTCGTTCGCCTAATAGACCTTAAACTTCCCTTCGTTCCTCGATTTGCGTGAGTGGTACCGATCAAGCGAGCGAATCACGAGGCGAATTATGCGCCGCGATATGGACTGTTTAATATGCAGTGTATTTCGCAAATGCAGCGTGGGCTCATCGACTCGATACGCAGGGTACTTTGATGCGAGAGACCTTATCCTCGCGTATTTATAAATTAGTCTGTCCAGCTCCAAAGGATATCAGTAGCAACGGCAACGTTCGTTTCATCGCTCCGCGGTAAGCTCTATTTGTATATCTCGATATTCAAAGCTTTCAAGAAAGCGAGGAATTCGTGAATCCTCGACAATTGGATACATATCACAGTTGGTTCATCGATTTGACCTCGATGTAAACGCGATTGCGGGTATCGCTTTCTCTGTATTTAAATCGCCCTGTGTAACGAGTAGTTCCGAAAACACACTTAACTTGTCATTGGAAAGATGGAATCTGGTGATTTTTCTTCTTTTCTTTTTGTTTTGTACTTTTATAATTTTTTTTTTATTTTGTATTTTTATAATTTTTTAAACCTTGTGATATCTTTCATGATTCTGTGAAATACTGAGATTTAATAACAGAGAGCTAACAGAAAAAATCTTAAGATATAAATTATTAGTAATTTATTCAAAGATTAAAAAGAAAGAGATGAAATACGTAGGGTCTGTCAGACCTCATTTTTCGACGACGAGTTAAAATGTGACGTCTACAATGCGTTCGCACGTTTTACAATCGTAGCACTACTCTCTTAAAGTGAATCAGTGAAACATTATTGAAAGCAGTCAATATACACTAAATTTATAAAAGAAAAGGAAGAAACCTGTAAGAACCAGGCACAAATGTTGTAGTGCTATTTATATGAGAAAAAATATAATTACAATATATACGTTTCGATCCGATTTGGGTCTTCTTCAGTAAAATATATAGAAAGTAATACTAGTCAATTAAACAAAGGTTAAGTACAAAACAACAAACGCAATCAATTAACGCACGCATATACAAAAAGTTCGCAGGCAACGGATCAATATTAATGTCAAAAATAAAAAGGATCAATATTAATGTCAAAAATAAAATGGATTAATATTAATATCAAATATAAAAGTTCCCTTCCTCCAAAGTTAACGTGATGTATCTTTGATCACTAACAACGCTTAAAGACGATGCAATGTAGACTAAGGTGCAAAAAAGTTACCCCAAAATGCCAACGAGTAGAAAGATCAAAATTTTTTTTCATTTTTTTCTTCTTTATTTGAATCTGAATAATAAAGGAGAAAAAGTAAAAAAACTAACTAAGCACCGCAATATACGAAAAGAGATATCCTTTATAAATTGTAGTAATTTAAATGCCGTTAGACATAAGAAATTATATGTTTACTTGATTTTTAAACCGTCGTTGTTGATCTGACAATGTCGGAGCGAATACTCTGAAGTGATATAATCAAACCCGTGTTGTAACACTGAAAATCTCTAATAAGAGTTCGCGAAGTCAGGGAAAAACGCAAGATACATAACATTAAAATTTAAATTTATTAAGAATATCCGAGTACCGCTGACCAGAAGACTCTTTGTTAATTTGATTTTTAAAATCTTTTTCCTTTTGTTTCTATATATATAAAATTTCTGAAATCAAACGTTTAAAATAGGAAAATTCAATATCAAGAATTTCTACGTTATCCCAATCAAAATCATGATTGTAGCAATTTGGTGTGCTTTGACTACCTGAAGTAATGGTGAGTTATTCATTAGTGGCCTAGGGTGTTCGGAAATTCTTGTCTTTAAAAGTATGCTAGTTTGATCCACGTATGATATATCGCAAAATATATACAATTTAACTTGTAGACAACATTATTTTGCATCGTCTTTTGCAGAGAATTCTTGTGCATTTTGATAAAATGATAAAGTTTAACTAGAGCTTTAAAGGCTAATTTTATATTTTCAGTATTAATCAAAGATTTAAAATTTTCAGAAATTCCACCTAAATAGGGAATGATGAAGAAAGAGAGTTTATGATTGTTATAGTCTCCACTATTAGTCTCTAAAATATCGGAAACTTTTTTGAAAAGAAAAGTAAGACCGCGTTAACTTTGGATGCACACAAGGATGCACGGCGTTAACTTTGGAGAAGGGGTGCTTTTATATTTTTGACATTAATATTGATCCATTGCCAGCGAACTTTTTGTATATGCGTGCGTTAATTGATTGCGTGTTTTGTTTTGTACTTAACCTCTGTATAATTGCCTGGTATTACTTTCTATATATTTTACTAAAGAGGACCCAAATCGAAACGTATATATTGTAATTATATTCTTTCTCATATAAAAAACACGACAACATCTGTGCCTGATTCTTATAGATTCCTTTCTTTTCTTTTTTAAACTGATTTATCTTAGAGCCGATTTTCTCTTTAACTTGTTACTGTTTATTTATTGTTTGTCACGTGAGCGACAGAATGCGTGTTTTCATCCCACGTTTCCTTTCTTTTTTCAATTTTATCTATTTCCTGTTTGATCCTTCCACTCATACAATCTTAAATTATTGGTCAATTTGCAAATAAGGTTGACAAAAACTAGAATTCATTTACGTTTTTTAAAGAAATGTTTAATACATGACACTATTCCTCCACATTTGCGTTTTTGACACGTTCAGATTTGATATTCTTTAATGATTGTTCAACTAGAAGACTCCATATATTGAATCGCAATTTTGTCTTCAAAGTTTTAAAAACAGAAATAACAAACGGTTATAAATTGTTAGAACATCTGTGTATTAGCTCCCGTAACCTTTTATGTAAACTTTAAATATCTCTACCGCTTTACATCAGGAAAGAATTTTGTTATTCAGTCTGCTTGTTTGACTTGAATCTACAATACTGAAGTGACTAGATTACATAAAAAATTTGAAAATTTACTCATGCTTGAACGCAATCATAATTTTAATAGATAGATAATGTCTTTATTGATCCCCAACGGGGTTACAATTCTCTACTCATCTTACAACTCTTCCTTCCTACCCGCCACACACACACACACACTTCTCCCTATTTGTCCTTTCCACCATCTTCTTATATCTTAAAACTACTTATAACTATCTTAATCTTAACTTATCCACTAAACGCCTTATACTACGCGTCCCGTGCCCACCCACTTCCGTTCGGTCCTTCCGTTTCCCCTCTCTCTCTCTCTCCCTCTCCCCCTTTCCTCCTCTCTCCCTTCTTCTTTCTCTTTCTCCCCTTTTCCTCCTTCCCTTTTTCACTCCCACCCTCTCTCTCTCTTTACCACTCTGTCCCACTCCCCACCCCTCAATCCACATCACCCACCCCTGCTCTTGCCCTCTCTAACCTCTTTATCCACTCCTCCCCCTCACCCTCCTCTCCCAATATGTTCTGTATCACCTCTTGTGAACTAATCATCTCTTCCTCTCCCTCATCCCACACTGCTTCCACATGTTCCCATATTAACTTATCATATAACCATATTCTCCTTTTCCAATCTCTCCACCAAATTCTTTTCCCAATTCCCCATATTTCCCTCATTACCAGTGCTGCTTTTTTCGTCCTTTCCCTTATATGTGCTTCTTGCCCTCCATTCCTTTGCATCGTGTAACCCAAGTATCTATACTCTTTTACTTCCTCCAGTCTTTTCCCCTTCCTCCTCCCTCCACCTTTCCCAAATCTCAATACTTTTGTTTCTTCCGTGTTAACTTCCAACCCCTTCCTCTCCACGTATCTCTCCATTCTTGCTAACACTTTTCCTCCATCATCCGCGTAAGGCAGTGAGTACGTTTTTTTCCTCCCAATCTTACACCTCCCCATCCCCTCTTAATCAAATCCTCCTCCAAGTCTGCTATTAAAATATTAAATAGAATCGGGGCTCAAGGAACACCCTTGTCCTAGCCCCCTCTCCATCCAAAACTCTTCTCCAACCCTCTCCTCCACTTTCACTCTGCTTTTTGTTTCCCACAACATCTCCACTCTTAGTATTAAACCCTTCCTCACTCCTCGCCCCCTCATCGCCCTTATCAACTCTCTCCTGTCCACCGAGTCGAACGCCGCCTTAAAATCTATAAACACCACTATAATCTTATCTCCTTTCTTCCTCAATTGTCTATTTGTCAAGTAATTTAAAACACATATCAAATCCATCGTCCCCATTCCTCTTCTAAAACCTGCCTACCCTTCCGATAATAAATCCTTTCTCTCCACTTCCCCCCTTAACCTCTCCGCCAATACTGCCGCATAGATTTTATATAATGATGGCATCACCGTTATTCCCTTGTATTCTTCTACTTTGTCCCCTGTTTCTTTCTTCACTACTGGAACTATAATACCTTCCTTCCATTCCTCCGGCCAACTTTCTCCCTTCCATACCCTCCCACATATTTCACATGCCCATTTTACCATTTCCTCTTCTGCATATTTCCATACTTTATTCGGAATCTTATCTATTCCCATTGCTTTCTCTGCTTTCAGATTCTTTATCACCCTCTTCACCTCCTCCCATTTCAGATCCACTTCCTCCCCCTCCTCTCTCGCTCTTACACTCCCTGTCACCCCTCTCTCCTCCTCTCTCCCTCCACACCTCCCATTAATTTCATAAAATGATCTGATGAGGACATCGTGATTTGATTAGTAACAATTCCGCGAATCTTATTAAACGTTTTTTAAGTAATTCTACTCGTTATTCTGAGACACATAATACCATTATTAAATATTACTACTTTATGAAAAGGTTTGTTAAACAAAACTCTGATATTATTTTTACCAGAGCGGACAAAGGAAATATTACCGTTGCCTTGAATAAAGAGGTTTACCTAGAAAAAATGATGCTACTTCTTAATGACAACAACTTACATTAGAGTTGACCACGATCCTACTGACAAATTGACAAATGATCTGCACAATATTTTTACTAGATGGAAATCCATGTCGTTTATTAAAACTTCTACGTATAAATCTTTAAATTGCACTAATGGCGTTTTATGGATTACCCAAAATCCATAAATCCGAATCCATAATCCATAATCCGAATTGTCCATTACGTATCATTATCTCTTCCATTAATAGTCCGTTGTATTAGTAGTCTATCGTTATTTTTACATGAAATTATTTATAAAAGTATTCCACCGCCTGATTGAAGAATTCTTAACAGCTTAGAATTTATTTCCAAATTTTCAGTCAGTTAAGATTGAAACACATTATAATCTATTCTCTTTGGATGCTGTCTCATTGTTTACAAACATACCTACAAACTTGGCTATTGTGGGTCTTAGACATCGTTGGGCTTTTATTGAGAAATATATAAAAATTCCGAGAGAGTTCTGCGGTTTCGTTTGTTCTGAATTCTACATTTTTTAAATTTAATTACACAATTTTTAAGTAAACTTTCGGTAGTCCTATGGGGTCTCCATTGCTTTTTATCGTTGCAGACATAGTCTTGCATGATTTGGAGATCAAGGCACTTAATAGGATTCCTATATCCCTTCCGTTTCTCACCAGATACGTTCATGATATCTGTTTGGTTTCTCCTCCTCAATTCATTGAGTCAATTCTAGACATTTTTAATTCTTATCATCAAAGGTTACAATTTACTGTGGAAAAATCAACCAATGGTTGCCTCAGTTTTTTAGACATTACGATGACTATTTCTAATGGAGGTTTGACATTTGACTAATTCCATAAATCAACTTTTTCAGAGAGATTCCTCAATTTTCACTTATTCCATTCTTTATGTCATAAGATAGGCATCATTTACGGTTTAATTGATAGAGCCTTTCTTTTGAGCCACCCTAAGCACCACGGTAAGAATATTAAGTTTGTCATTAATACTTTATTAAATAATGGCTATTTGTTAGATAGCTTAGTTAGATAGATTTGCTATTTAAGTCTGTTAAACGCTGTCTTCCTCTTACTACTACTACTAAAAAAGTACTCTACTTAGTCTACTTAGTCTAAGTCGTCTACTTTTCAAAAAAGTTTCCGATATTTTAGGGACTAATAGTGGAGATTATAACAATCATAAACTCTTTCTTCATCATTCCCTATTTAGGTGGAATTTCTGAAAATTTTAAATCTTTGATTGATACTGAAAATATAAAATTAGCCTTTAAAGGCCTAGTTAAACTTTATTATTTTATCAAAGTGCATAAGGATTCTCTGCAGAAGACGATGCAAAATAATGTCTACAAGTTAAATTGTATATATTTTGCGATATGTCATACGTGGATCAAACTAGCATATTTTTAAAGATAAGAATTTCCGAACACCGTAGGCCACTAGTGAATAACTCACCATTACTTTCAATAGACAAAGCACACCAAATTGATTACAATCATGATTTTGATTGGAATAACGTAGAAATTCTTGATATTGAATTTTCCTATTTTAAACGTTTGATTTCAGAAATTTTATATATATATATAGAAATAAAAGGAAAAAGATTTTAAAAATCAAATTAACACAGAGTCTTTTGGTCAGCGGTACTCGGATATTCTTAATAAATTTAAATTTTAATATTATGTATTATGCGTTTTTCCCTGACTTCGCGAACTCTTATTAGAAATTTTCAGTGTTACAACACGGGTTTGATTATATCACTTCAGAGTATTCGCTCCGACATTGTCAGATCAACAACGACGGTTTAAAAATCAAGTAAACATATAATTTCTTATGTCTAACGGCATTTAAATTACTACAATTTATAAAGGATATCTCTCTTCGTATATTGCGGTGCTTAGTTAGTTTTTTTACTTTTTCTCCTTTATTATTCAGATTCAAATAAAGAACAAAAAAATGAAAAAAAAATTTTGATTTTTCTACTCGTTGGCATTTTGGGGTAACTTTTTTGCACCTTAGTCTACACTGCATCATCTTTAAGCGTTGTTAGTGATCAAGGATGCATCATGTGGAGGAGGGGAACTTTTATATTTCACATTAATATTAATCCATTTTATTTTTGACATTAATATTAATTTGTTGCCAGCGAACTTTTTGTATATACGTGCGTTAATTGATTGCGTTTGTTGTTTTGTACTTAACCTTTATATAATTGACTAGTATTACTTTCTATATATTTTATTCAAGAGGACCCAAATCGGATTGAAATGTATATATTGTAATTATATTTTTTCTCATATAAATAGCACTACAACATCTGTGTCTGGCTCTTATAGGAGCGCCTTTCTTTTTTTTTAAACTGATTTATCTTAGAGCCGAATTTCTCTTTAACTTATTATTTGTTAACTTGTTTATTTAATATACACTAATTTGTAATGAATATACACTGATTCGCAATTATAGTATACTACTGAAATTATTCAGTTATATTTATAACTGATATTAGTGACTATTTAATTTATTTTAAGATAATAAATTATGAATCGATTATGTATCCGTTTCCTTCGCGTAAATTCGTGAGAAATGAAAGTTTCATTAGTGAGTTCAATGAAATTTTTCATTTTTTATGAGTTTACACGAAGGAACTGAGCACATAGTCGATTCGTAGACTAGTGCTATGACTTTAAGACGTGCGATCGCATTATATACAATCTTTTACGACGTTCGCACATGGATTGCCGTAACTGTAGATGTAAAGTGTAAACTTAAGCTAAAAGTCTAATTGAGATATTACTTTCGGATTTTTTTAATTAAAAAAAGATCAACGTTATTGTATAAGTTCGACCTGAGTAACTAGGATTTTAATCAAATGAATCTTAGCTATCTTTGCATATGATTGGATTTACTGGCAGTTCTATCTCCTGCTAAGGCACAAAATTATGGCAAATCCTGATTGGTCCTTCAACTAAAGTTTACATCTTATGTCTGTGATTACGGTAATTCATGTATCAAAGCCCTTAACGCCGCTAGGGCTGGCTCTACATGCCGATATCAGTCCTCTACACATTCCTGTATACCTCGTTGACGCGTATAAGATACTATTGTTAATAAAAACGAAGGAGCAAATTGTAAATATATCGATGTTATGAACGTACTCTTCGAGACAGAACCTAGTCACCTCGTTAAGTCGAGCATCATGGGAGATGAATAATCATTGGACGCGTCTTGCTCCGCGAGAGCAGCGATTTATGAATCATTACGCGAGCCGTGCGCGTCGATTACGAGTGTGTGCAGAGGATTGTCCAGCAGGAGCCGCGAATAAACCGTCTTCGGACTCGGTGTTCTCGGTTGAAACTTCATCGGGCTACTCTCCCCGTCATGATAAATAAATTTACGAAGATATAGTGTGCGACACTACATATAGAGAAGGCGTGCGGCATTAAAATGTTCGCAACATCCGTATAAATATATACATACACACGTATGCTTGTGACGCGTGAACTGTGTACAGAATTTAATAGGGGAGGAGGGGGATCGCAGGAAGATTTCGAACAATAACGTAATAATCTTGCATGGCACGACGTGAAGCGGTCTTTCTTCTATTATTTTAAGCAAATAATACTCATTAATAACGGGGACGTAACGATTACAAGCAAGTAAGAAACATATACGAGTAGTAATGTTTAGCAGCACTATTCGGAATCGGCGGATCCCCCGCGATATCACGCGTGCCGATTCGCTCGGCGGACTCGCGAGTCAGAGGCGAATAATTCGCGAGCGAGTTCTCCTCGCACGTTATGCCCGTTTACGCACGATCAGCACGTTTGAGTTTCTCTCTATTTTTCGTTCCTACAAACATTCTGCCCTTTGCCGCCGCGGTGGCTTAAAACCCGCCCGCGTTCTGAAAGATCCGCTTGATTTTAGCTACGAACAATTCCAGTATAAAAGTTGATATAAATAGGAAGATAGATTGTATAATTATCTCGTTAACGTTTTTAAACTTTATTCAGTGGCGTATCGAGTGGCGACGTGTGGCGAATGCGCGTGACTGTACAAGAATCTAATGATGTGAAATTATATATAAATATATATATATAGTATATATAGATTATATATATATATATATATGCTCATACACAGAGAGCATAATTATAATACTGTTATAATGGTAATAGAAATATAGTACACAGTGTAAAATTATAAACGAAAACGCGCGTGCGCGAGTATATATGGGTGAATATACGCTGGGGCAGGTATTATGATACTTTTCGCAAAAGTTTTCAATCCAAATAATTACATTTACCCTGAAAAACACGTTAGAATTTAGAACTCCCGAGCATTCGACTATTTAAGAATCTGATTAAAAATCTGGAAATAAATTCTGATCTGAAAAAATGAAAACCGTAATATTTGCGAATGACTTGAATAATTCGAATTATTGGATTCAAGTTCAAGGTTTAAGAAGAGATTTGGGTCCAGAACCAAAGTCCAATCCGAAGTTGAATTCGAAAGAGAAAATAAATCAGATAAATAAAAAAGTGATCAACTTAATAACAGAATTATACGAAGTAATTATTGTTATTCTGTGTACCGTATATATCTCTGTTCTTTTTCTTTTTCAAAAAAGGAATTTTCCCCTAATTAATGAATAAATTAATTTTCAATTGATACTCAACACTGCCGGGCGAATATTAAAGCCCTGATAGAAATCTGAGGAGTAATTCAACGATTTCGTTAGAAAACATTCCCGAATTGTTTCATAATACCTGTCCAGTTCTATCGATCGATAGATGATGTGATACATTTGCGCGTACACAAACATATTTGATTGAATGTGCGATACAATTGTAAGAATGCCTTTCGATGATCGTTTCATCGAGAGAAAAAGAGAGAGAGAGAAAAAGAAGGGAAGGGGAAAAGTCTACCTAGAAAGTTGTGCAAAATGATCTGTGAGTGTAGTTAGCAATATGCGCGTGCCAGACATACACACACATATACATAACACAACATAACACACATACAAACACATGAAGCACCAGTGATGAATAAACGATCTTTGAGCAATGAACATCCTCCCGTTGAAGAATGTATAATAATTGAGAAACTCCGTATAATCTCTTGAATGAATCTTATTAGTTGATAATTGTATTGTTAGTTGCAGCGTGTGTGCGTGTAACGCGAAATGTGAAGGTCCTGTTCGTTGTTTTGCATTACCGACGACGGAAGAATTCGAGGTTTATATAATCCTTTGCGATGTATTATTTTATGGATTATGCCGAGTAATTGCGAATGATTTATTTCCGAATTGCGATGCGGGAGGGAGTCCGTGGCGCCGCGTCTTGGATGTCTGGAGGATGGCAATAATATTCGCGAAGAAGCGTCGTCGCATAATCGTCTCGGTGGTAAATATTTTTGGAGGATCGCGTGCGGTGTATGTCACAGAAGATACGTCCAAGCCGCATTACGAGACAATTCTGAGATGCGAATAAACTGAAAATGATGGTTGGGTCGGTGATACTTCGTCCAGTTTCGTGAAATTATTTTCTTGTTTTGCAGTATTTAAATCGCAACTCGCGCGGTGATCTTTTTACGGTAGTATTATTCTAGTGTGTCGTTCTCGTCACGAGGTAACGTTTGATCGAACATTTTGCAGCTTATTTATTCGGTGAGTTTGTGTGTATCGTTCGAGACCTCAACAAACTCAACACGCCTGTGAAAAACGAGAAAAACAAAATGTGATTTAAGTGAAATTATTCGTTTATTTGATTGATTAACGAGCCAACAAAGTCTGTCAGGCCGCGAGTGTGTGACAAATTAGATAGTATAATTTAATTATTGTTATTGCGAGACCATATCATTACGGTTAACTCTTTAGGCGTTAATTAAAATATTATGTATAATCGTAGTACGTAATAACAGATGCTCCAATTTATCATATAATATCAGTTCGCGTACTTTCGCTGTAAAACTAGTATTACGAATTAGCAAAAAGATATTATTCGATTTCTTTGTGAGAGGAAGGGAGTGTGGCAGGGAGGGAGAGAGAAAAGGAAAGCCATCTTATTGAAAGACGGATAATAAAAATAGAAGAAATGAGATCTTGTGTTCTTTCTTTCCATTCTTCTCTCTTTTCACAAAATACTGTGTCCAAAAAGTAAGACCAGTTTTCAATTTAAATCGTGCGGGTAAACCGTACATCATAAATATTTTTTTTCTAAGTTGGCAGCATTGTGACAGACATCTGTGACAAATTTCATGTCAAAACATTCATTACTTTTTGCTTTACGCTTGGTTTTGTACGACGCTAAAAGTGCATTCGGCGATTTTTACAATGTCTAATTATATTGAGCAAAGAAGTTGCATTAAATTTTGTTTGCGGAATGAAATTTCGGGTGCAGAAACGTTCAGGATGTTGCAGAAAGCCTTCGGGGACCATGCTTTGTCGGAAAGGAATGTTTACAAGTGGTATAAACAGTTCAAAGAAGGTCGTGAAAGTGTCGAAAATCAAGGTCATGTTGACAATTTTCATCGATTATTGTGGTGTTGTCCATTCAGAATTCCTTCCACCCGGCCAAACCGTCAACAAAGAGTATTATTTGAGTGTTATGCGTCGTTTGCGTGAAGTTATTCGCAAGAAGAAGTCAGAATTGTAGGTAGACAATGCTTGGTTTTTGCATCACGATAATGCACCTTCTCACACTGCACTCGTTCTTCGTGACTTTTTCGCCAAAAATTCGATCCATATCGTTCCACAACCACTATATTCGCCTGATTTAGCACCGTGTGACTTCTGGCTATTCCCGAAACTCAAAAGACCACTGCGGGGAAATCGTTTTGAGACGATAGAAGAGATACAACGTGAATCGCTACGCGCTCTGAAAGCCATCCCGGAAGGCGACTTTAATTCTTGTTTCGAGGATTGGAAAATACGTTGGCATAAGTGTATTGTGTCGGGAGGGGATTACTTTGAAGGCGACGAAATAGATTTGGAAGAATAAATAAATATTTTTTGAAATAAATAAAAACTGGTTTTACTTTTTGGACACAGTAGTATATTATCTCTCTTGCGCTGTGACCATAACTACAATATTTATCGATACTTAGATGATCATTTCAATGATGAAATAGAATCATTTTTATTTAGATAAAAAAATATAAAGTATATTTATCTTTATCTTAGGCGAGAAAAATGTGTCATCTTACACGCAGAAAACATTAGAAAATTAGAAAATATTAAAAAACACGAGAAAATGTGTTATTTTTACCTTACAAGGAAACCCACACAAATGTCCGCCACCGATTTTCATAAACTTGTAATATGTTGTATTTTAGATCAAAATAGCAGATACGTTTTTTATTATATATTCCCTTTTGGAAGTTTAAAGGGTGAAATACCTCTTTGAAGAAAATCGATTTTTCTCATTCGAAGGGAATATAATGAAAACTATAAAAGATAGAAAAATATATTTTGAATAAAAGTTGGTTGATTTGAAGAATACTTTACAAAAATTATTTTAATAATTATAATAAGAAGAAGTAATGGGGGAAATATTAATAAAAAAATTTTTACTCTATCAATCAGTGCTCAATGGTGCAACTAAACTCTATGAATCTCTCGACCATAACTTTCGTTCTACAGACCACAACAGAAAGACAACAATATTCCTATGGTTGAGGTAACTATGTATGTACAAGAATGTACTAACTGAACATTATCAAAAGAAGAATGGTTGAGAACTGTATAGATAGGCATGTAATAACACTAATTTTTAATGCCATATCCATTTCACTTGAAATCACATAAATTTTCTTTCTAACTACAGAATATATAAATATAGTGACTATAATAATTTTCTCCATGTATCTATAAATTATCTAAGATGACGTTATGTGTTATGCAAAAATCTGTTTTGCCGGTCTAAATTATCAAGAAGTTAATTTTAGTTAGTGTACATATACATACGAATATGTTAGAATCCAATAAATTCAAAACGAAACAAACCAGAACATTGCTTTTGAATTGTATACTCGAGTGCATCGAAATCTTTACATGCAGGAAATTTTGATTTAGATGAGCTCAATGTCAGATAGAAGAAGAATGCGTTATAGAAGAATGGAGCGAAGAAGCGATTTTGTTTACAAGAAATCTTCCGATAGCATCCGAATCTCTGTATTTCGGTTATCTATTTACGGATAAAGAGAGTGGAAGAGTATTTGATGCCGCACTCACTAACATTTTGTCAAAATTCCCTACTTCTGAAAGTAAAAATGAAGATTTCGATGTGTATATAAAATTTCCCAGATAGCACAGAGAATTCAAAAAGAATTCATTAGACATGCCATTTTTATGTTACCAATTCTTTTTCAAATACAAGGAAAATTTTTTTGTATTTGAAAAAAACTTATTAAAATTGGTAACATAAATATGAATTCTTTTAGGATTATCTTTGCTATTTGGGTTTAATATAGGAAATTATTACTTATTTTTTAATATTTTATGTATATACATTTGATATAATTTCATATTTATAAGATCTTTCGTTTAAAAAATGACGTATATTATTTTGACGTCGTCTTGACACTTAATCTTTGAAGGTATACAGCAGACCTACGAGGTACTATCATTTGACTCTTTGTATATGCAACTCCTTGTTGCTCGGAAATATCAAAATTTCAACACAGAATCCGAATCAATGGCTGCGTTCAGCAGAGAAAGTTGCTTTGCAACTATTGTAAAATTTGTGAATCTGATTGGAGTATGCTCTTAATTTTGGTTGAATCCAAAAGCATTTACCAATCAGATTCACGAATTTTACAGCAATTGCAAAACAGCTTTCTCTGCTGAAGGCAGCCAATAACTTTCGACATTAACGACGTCGAAATGAAGTCGACGAATTTTAGCTGGGTAATACAACTCGACTTTCCGTAATCTTCCGTAACTTAGTAGCGAATGTATCAAAGTGAACCTCAGTGGTCTTATAACGATACATCCGTCACAATACAATTATTACGTAACGCGGTAATCTAAAATGTATCCAGTGACGTAACGCGCTCGCGCGCTCATGTAAATGCCGAGTCTCTGCGCGGATTAACGCGGTCGCTTTGCCGCGATGCTTTGTAGGCGAGATGGAAAACGAGAAACTCCAATCGGGCTCAGTCGAGTCGTCGCACCTTTCTTCTCTGTTAACTCACGTGTCACGTTCCGAGAAAATTATTCGCGCGTAAGAAATCGGACAGACGCACGAGTTGACAGCAAGACGACGAGACTGTAATTCGCGTCGCTGTAATAATTCACAAATACTACATTGAAAGAAAGAAATACCTGAAAGATAAAAATATACTTATTCGGTGGATACTGATAAAATATTTAATTAAATTTAGATTCTCTTATTTAAATAGATTTAGCAATCTTTTTCATGAAAAGCTTCGGTTTTAAGAGAATATATATTTTCTCATTTGAAGAAAAATTTTTCATTTCATTTGAAAAAAATGTTGGTGTAAAAATATATATATTTAATTTGTAGATATTATCTCAACGTAAAAAAACATATATATATATATATATATATATATATATATATATATATATATATA